ACACACACACACACACACACACACACACACACAAGGTAATGGATGAAGGAAGTTGAATGCTGTCAGAATAGTGTGCCAACTGTGAAAAGGAACAGAGAAATCTGTTGGGGGAAGAGTAGGGAGTAGTGAGAGAGATTGGAATACAGTATGAGCATGTGTGGAAATGTAACAGTCCTCTCATGTAACTAATATAAACTAATAAAAACTGAAAACAGAAGGTAGATTTGGGTGCTAGGAGATAGAAATTTTTTCTAGAGCACAGAGGAAAATACGTCAAACTGTGTCAGGGAAAATGTTGCCAGCATGATGCTGTTTGCCCAGGACCTTGAAAGGGACACTGGAAATCATCAGATAGGCAACCTGTGGAGAATATGCTTAACTTGCAAGGAGAATGGGAGAAAAAAAGACATAAAAATATTTGAGGACTGTCAAAACATCTAAAAGAGAGTAAAGAGAGTAGGAGACTAGAGCCAGACCTTCTAGGGCTTTGAACTCAAAGCAAAGGAGCCAAGATGGGGAACTTTGTTGATCAGAACTATACTCTAGGACAACTTGAGTCTGCAGCAGCAACACCTGGAGGACTTGATAGAAGTTGGTTCTAGACACCACCCCCACAGTTATTGATTCAGTAAGTCTAAGGTAGGATTGAGAATTTGCATCTTTAAACCTTCCCAGATATCCTGTGTGTTAGTTATGTTGAATATGGCCCAGCTCTCAGTAGGCTGAGGCAAGAGAATCTTTGTGTGTACGTGTGCCAGTCCTGAGACGAGAACTCAGGGCCCAGGCTCTGTCCTTTACCTTCTTTCAGTCAAGGCTCATGCTCTACCACTTAAACCTTAGCTCCACTTGCAGCTGTTTTGGTAGTTTAGTGTAGAGATAAGAGTCTTACAGCCTTTCCTGCCCAAGTTGGCTTTGAACCCCAGTCCTCAGACCTCAGCTTCCTGAGTAACTAGGATTTCAGGCGTGTGTGTGTGCTACTAATGTCTAGCCGGCAGAAGGATCTTGAGCTGCAGGCCAGCTGCTCTATATATTGGAGCACTGTCTCAAAATAGTAATAATGATGATAATAATAATGATGATGATAATAAGAAGAAGAGGAAGAAGAAGAGGAGGAAGAAAGCCGTAGCAGCAGCAGCAGCAGCATGGGCATGGGCATGGGCATGGGCATGGTAGATAAGACCAAGGAAGTCTGAGCAGACTAAAGCAGGAAGATAAAACATTTAAGGCTTGCCAGGTACTGCTGGCTCATACCTTTAATTCTAGCTACTCAGGAGGCAGAGATCTGAGGATTGTGGTTCGAAGCCAGCCTGGACAGTAAAGTCTATGAGATTCTTATCTCCAATTAATCACAGAAAAATCTGAAAGTCTTGCTGTAGCTCAAATGGCAGAGCAAAAAGAGCTCAGAGACAGTGACCAGGCCCAGAGTTCAAGCCCCAGGACTTTCACAAAAAAAATTTGTTTGAAGTCAATCTGGACTACATGCCAACCAAGAACCTGTCTCCAAAAAAGCAAAAGAACTATTCCTAAGTGATGCTAATCTTTGATAACTACTCCTGGTGACTTTGTTCAAAATTGATTAGAAAGAGAAAGACGAGAGATGGATATTAGTCAGGACACTTACACTCATCCAGAGGAAAAGGGACCAGCTAGAATCAATGAAAAGAAGAGAATTGGTGGTAGTCAAGAATGGATACTTTCAAATAAAAATCTTACTCTGGGATTTTTGCATTTTCACCACAGTACACTGGAGCAATTGCACTCATGGAATTATAAGTTAATATGAACCCCAAATAATATAGAAAGCATAATTCAAAATTAATTCAGTCATATATTAGAGGAGTAAATGCCTTTCAAATAGTATGAAGGAATATTATTTTATTCTGTATTTTTTTTAATTTTATTTATTTTTTGGGGGGGTCCGGTCGTAGGGCCTGAACTCTGGACCTGGGCGCTGTCCCTCAGCTTTTCAGCTCAAGGCTAGCGCTCTACCACTTGAGCCACAGCACCACTTCCAGCTTTTTTCTTTTTGCTTATGTGGTGCTGAGGAATCAAACCCAGGTGAAATACAACTCCAAAGGTTCAGAGCTTAGATAAAGACTATGTGTTTAGGGCTGGGAAGGTGGCTCAGTGGTAGAGTGCTTGCCTTGCATGCATGAGGCTCTGGGTTCAATTCCTCAGCACCACATAAGCAAAAAGAAAAAAGCCGGAAGTGGAGCTGTGGTTCAAGTGGTAGAGTGCCAGCCTTGAGCTGAAGAGCTGAGGGACAGCGCCCAGGCCCAGAATTCAGGCCCTATGACCGGACTTCACCCCCCCCCCCAAAAAAAGACTGTTTAATCAATTCAAAATTCTTCTATTTACTTGTTTTAATCATATATCTAATAATGAATCAATGTAACATTTTCCTTTTATATTTCCTAGAGATCTGTCATGCAATAAAATACAGTCTATTGAAAGACGCACATTTGAACCACTACCATTTCTGAAGTTTTTGTAAGTTGCACATGTGACTTTCTTATCTAGAATCTTATTACTCATTTTGAAGTAGAATTAAAAGCTTGCTAGTAGAAACTTACTAAAATTAAGGTGGGCACAGTAACTCAAGCCTATAAATCTGGGCTACTTAAATTGTATGAAATGGGAGATTATGGTTGGAGGCAAACCTGTGCTAAAAAGGCTTGTGAGAATCCATCTCAACCAATGCCTCCATTTCTGTCATTCCATTATTTAAGGAAACACAAATAGGAGGATCACAGTCCCAATTGACCCAGATAAAGATTGAATCCCTATTGCAAAAATAACCATTGCAGCCAAGCATTGGTGGTGCACACCTGTAATCCTAGCTCCTGGGGAGACTAGGATCTGAGGATCACCATTGGAAGCCAGCCCTAACAAGAAAGTGGAAGTGGAGGGATGGCTCAAGTGGTAGAGTGCTAGCCTTGAGCAAAAAAACTCAGGGATAGTACCAGGCCCTGAGTTCAAGCCCCAGGACTGGCATAAAAAAGAAAAGAATGAGGGGCTGGGAAGGTGGCTCAGTGGTAGAGTGCTTGCCTTGCATGCATGAGGCCCTGGGTTCGATTCCTCAGCACCACATAAGCAAAAAGAAAAAAACCGGAAGTGGTACTGTGGCTCAAGTGAGAGAGTGCTAGCCTTGAGCTGAAGAGCTGAGGGACAGCACCCAGGCCCAGAGTTCAGGCCCCACAACTGGACCCCCCCCCAAAAAAAGAAAAGAAAAGAATGAATAAATAAATAATATGAAAGGGCCTGGCATTAAAAGTGAGTGAATGAATGAATAAATACATAAATAATGCAAAGGACTTGGCAGAGTAGCTTAAGTAGTAGAGTACCTGGCTAGCAAGTACAAGGCCCTAAGTTTGAAACTCCATTATTTAATTAAAAGGTAGTTACAGAGCAGATCTTTTTTGTCTCTGGCAAAAATGAGTGGTTTAATCAGTACAAGTCAGAAAATCATTCCAGAGCAAGTCTGTGATTTTGGACCCAGAGAAGTTGGCAACTGTGGCGGATATCAGATATCAGGACAAACCTCTTCAACAAAGGATTGTCCAACCCAAAATGTCAATATCACTGAAATTAGGATACCCTGTTATGGAGAAATAAAGTTCATTTGGCATTAAGTGATGATTGAGCATGCACTGTTATGTATCTAATATAATGCACTTGTAAATATGAAAGTCATAATCTGATACCTTCCACAGCAAGATTATTCTACAGAGAAAATACTTAGGTTATGATTATTCATATGTAAATTAGAATCACTGAAATGACAATTGTTCTGAAAAGAATGTTTCTATTCTTCTCTGGCTTATGTCTTTTTATTTTTTTTTAGAAACCTTGGTTGCAATTTACTCATAGAACTGAGCTTTGGAACATTTCAGACATGGCATGGATTGCAGTTTTTACACCAGTTGTAAGTGCAATAGAAAGAAGATAAATATGTCAAATAAAACCTTACTTACATGTTACAAACCTCATTCTGTCATCGTAGCTGAGTAGGAGGCCGAGATGGAAAGGATGACCATTTCAGACCAGGCTGGGCAGAGTTCATGAGACACAAATCTCCTGTCTTTCCAATTATGATAGGAAACCTAAATAGGTAGATCATAGTCCAGAATAGTGTGCCTAGGAAGAAAGCTAAAGTCTATGTAAAAAATAGCTCATGAGCTGGGAATGTGGCTTATTGGTAGAATGCTTTCCTAGCATGCATGAAACCCTCAGTTTGAGTCCTCTGTACCACATAAACAGAAAAAGCCGAAAGTGGTGCTGTGGCTCAAGTGGTAGAGTGCTAACCTTAAGCAAAAGAAGCTCAGGGACAGTGCCCAGGGCCTGGGTTCAAGCCCCAGGACTGGCAAAAAAAAAAAAAAACTTTGTCAAAAAATGGCTGGAGCATAGCCCAGCAGTAGATCATCTGCCTAGCAAGGACAAGACCCCCAAGTTCAAACTTTTTTGTACTGAAAAAAAGAAAAAGATGAAGATAATTCAGACCTGTCCTTTGGGATGATCCAAGTTAGTGGTTTAATTGCAATAGTTCAGAAAAACAAACAAACAAGTGTTCAAAACAACTGTTCTACCTTTTTTCCTGGCTGCATCATATTCTTCCTTCCTATGTAGAAAACATTTTCTCTTCTCTTAGAAGCTTAGTAATGTTCCTCTTCCTTTAACACTTCTTCAATATTTACATTTATTAAGTATTTATTATACAAGGAGTATTATGCTGAAAGTTCTTTCAAAAAGGTGTTTGGCACATGGCAAATACAATATATTATTTTCATTTCCCCCCAAACGATTACATTGTTGATAATGTTATCTCCATTTTACAATGAGAAAGTTGAAACTCAGAAGTGGTGAGGAATTTGTGAAGATTCCTGTGGCAGGTTCTTGTCTCCTAAGTGTTAGGAGCTATGCAGATCTTTTGCTATGCAGCTTCTGTTCCCTTGTAATATTACTCACTGATAATTACTTGGCTTTTTTTGTGAACAAATGCTAGAATCCCAGTGTCAGTTGGAGAAAGGCTGCCTCATAAGAGGAAAGGCTGAAGGCTGGGAATGTGGCTTAGTGGTAGAATGATTGCCTAGCATGCACGTAGCCCTGGGTTCAATTCCTCAGTACCACATAAACAGAAAAAGCCACAACTGTGGTGCTGTGGCTCAAGTGGTAGAATCTTAATCTTGACCAAAAGAAGCTCAAGGACAGTGCCCAGGCCTTGAGTTCAAGCCCCCAAGATTGGGCAGTGGTGGGGGGGGTGGCGGACAAAGAGGAAAGGCTGAGATGATGGGCAAGGAGGCCATGAGTGAGCTGTTGAGGAGTGAGGTGTTGAAATAATAAACTTTGCTAAGTTGTCCAGGTTTTACATTCATTCTTGATGGTTTGGAAAAGGGAATGAGTGGCAAGCAGAGGTGGAGAAGCCCACTTGTACTGTCCATTAATACTTAACAGATTTTAGTGTTCCATTAGTCCCACAAAGTGATATTTGAAGGCTTAGAGGCATAATGCTTAGTAAGTTATATGACATTCACATTCTTCCTCTTCATAAACTAATCTTATTGAAGGTACTAAAACATAGTGAAAGGATTCACGAGAACAGAGGGGTTTCCTAGCCAAGAGCAAGCCATCACCCCAACTAGTCCCACCCTTATCACTGATTGGCTCTCTATAAACTGTCAAGAGTTTGAAACTTTGCTCCTCTTTTCTCCATATACTAACACAACTGTATTTATAGCATTTGAAGTGCTATGTATTACAACAACATTTTTTAAAAATTAGGGTAAGAGCCAAGTACTGATGGCTCACATCTATAATCCTAGTTACTTAGGAGCATGGGGTCTGGGGATCACAGTTCAAAGTCAAACTAGGCAGAAAAGTCCTGTGAGACTATTATCTCCAATTAATCATCAGAAATTCAGAAGTGGAGCTGTGGTTCAAATGGTAGAGTGATAGCTTTGAGCAAAAAAGCTCAAGGAGAGTGCCCAGACCCTGAGTTCAAGCTCCAGAACCAGCACAAAAAAATTAAGGTATAATCCATATGCAATATTTGAAAGATGAAATGAGTGCTACTTACTATATTTACAAAGTTGTACAGCAATAGTATCTAATTCCAAAAGATTTTCATCACTTCAAAAAGATTGTAGCAGTTAGCCATCACTCCCCATCTCTGTCTCTATCTCTGTCTCTGTCTCTTGACTCTTCCTCTCCCAACCCTGGCAACTTCGAATCTGTTCTGTTCCTTCTTATTTGCTTTCATAGACATGTTATATAAATTAATTTTGCTGGACATAGCATTTTGTGTCTTTCACATAGCATGTTGTTTTCAAAGGTTTATCCATCCTGGAACATGTATCAGTACTTTATTTGTAATGCTAAATTCTGTAGAGAAGAAATAGCAGTTCAGACATTAATTAGTGGACAGTGAGTATTTCCCACTGTTTTCAGTTGTGAACAGTACATATTCATATAATATATTCTAATATACAATAATTCATATTTTAGTAATATATTAGTTTAATATATAACACATGTACAAGCTTTTGTGTAAATATGTTTTCAATTCTTTTCTTGTTGTTTTTATGCCAGCCCTGGGACTTGAACCCAAATCCTGGGCACTGTCTAGCATCCAGCTTTGTTTTCAATTCTTTTTTTCAATTATATTTTATTATCCTTACGTAGTTGTACAAAAGAGTTGCCATTTAACAAAGCAGTTTATGAAAGTAATGTGTCTTGATCAGTGTTGTCCCTTCAGCATTCTTATCTGTCCCTCCCAACTCACTCCTTCTCTCCCCTTTCTTAAATTTGTAGGGTGTATGTTGAATTCTTGACTGCATTTGTCCCTTTCTCTTCTTCATTCATCTACCCGTCTCTTCTCAATCCCACCTACCCCTTTCAAACACTTGTTTCCTGGTATTTATTTTGTTGAACTCTGACTTTGCTTTTCCAAGTGTTTTCAGTTCTTAAGTGGGAATCTAGGAGTACAGTTTACTCCTAAGTATTTTATTCTTGTTAACATTTTTATATATAACATTTTTGGTTTTGAGAGAAGATTTCTGTATGTAGCCTAGCCTGTCCTCAAAGTCATATCCTTGTGTTTTAGCCTCCCAAGTACTGGGATTGCAGGTATATGCAAATACACACAGCTTCACTTTTTTCATATATATATATATATATATATATATATATATATATGTGCATATACACACATATTTGGCAGAGGAGGACTGTTCTTAGATGTAAATATATTCACAATTGTTTTATTTCCTTTATAGATTGAGCTTATTTATATGTGTATGTGCATGAACACAGGACCTCTACCTCTCACTCAGATTTTTTTTTTCTCATAGCTAATATTCTACCACTTGAACCATACCTCAGTTCTGACTTTATGCTGCTTAATTAGAGACAAAAGTGTCACAGATTTGTCTGTCCTGGCTAGCTTCAAAACTTTGATCCTCTGATCTTAGCCTCTGGAATAATCAGGATTGTAAGTATGGGCCACTAGCACCCAGCAGATTGAGCCTTTTATCATTATGTAATTCCCATCTTTGTCTTAATAGCAATTTTTAAGTCCATATCTTAGGGATTTTTTTTGTTTTTTTTTGTTTTTGTTTTTTGGTTGGTCATGGGGCTTGAACTCTGGGCCTGGGCGCTGTCCTGCGCTCTTCAGCTCAAGGTGAGTGCTCTACGGCTTGAGCCACAGCGCCACTTCTGGTTTTCTAGTGGTTTATTGGAGATGAGTCTCATGGACTTTCCCTCCCGGGCTGGCTTTGAACCGCTATCCTCAGATCTCAGCCTCCTGAGTAGCTAGGATTGCAGGCATGAGCCACCAGCGCCTGGCTGCATCATATATTTTTTTCCATCATTTTACTTTCAACTAATTTGTGTCTTTGAATAAAAGTGCATTTCTTTTTATTTTATTTTATTTTGTACCAGTCTTGGGGCTTAAACGTAGGGGCCTCGATATTGTCCCTGAACTCTTTTGCTCAGTACTTGCTAGTGCTTAGCATATGAGCCACAGCTCCATTTCTACTTTTTTGGTGGTTAATTGTAGATGAGAGTCAAACATGTTAAAGCCTGCCCATACTAGCTTTTAGCCCCAATCCTCAGATCTTAACCACTCAAGTAGGTATGATTAACAGATATGCCCAGCCAAAAGGGAATTTGTTGTAGACAGCATTGTAGGATCAAGTTTTTTAAAAGTATACCTTAGAATGTGGCTTTTTTTTAAAGGTTTTTTTAAAAGTCTCCCTGGGAATGTGGCTTTGTGGTAGAGTACTTGCCTAGCTTGCATGAAGCCTAGGGTTGAATTCCTCAGTAGCACATAAACAGAAAAAGCTGGAAGTGGCCCTGTGGTTCAAATGGTGGAATGCTGGCCTTGAGCAAAAGAAGCTCAGGGACAGTGCCCAAGCCCAGAGTTTGAGCTCCAAGACTACTTTAGGCTGGGTTATATCTCAAGTGGTAGACTATTTGCCTAACAAATATGAAGCCCTGCATGATTCAGTCATATACACGTATGCACGCATGCACATATGTGTGCACATACACTAAGTACAGTAAAAAATGTAATGTTTTCTGAAGTTTAATTGGAGAGTTGAATCCATTAACATAATCAGTGATGAAGTAGCATTTATTTTGCCATTTTGCTTTGTTTTCTCTATTATATATATATATATATATATATATATATATATATTTTCCTCTTCTCATTTCTACCACTGCTACATTCTTTTGAATTAAATATTTTTCAGGGGGCTGGGAAGGTGGATCAGTGGTAGAGCGCTTGCCTTGCATGCATGAGGCCCTGGGTTCGATTCCTCAGTACCACATAAGCAAAAAGAAAAAAGCCGGAAGTGGAGCTGTGGCTCAAGTGGTAGAGCGCTAGCCTTGAGCTGAAGAGCTGAGGGACAGTGCCCAGGCCCAGAGTTCAGGCCCCATGACCGGACCCAAAAAAATAAAAAAATAAATATTTTTCAGTATACTTTAATTCCCTTATTTGTTACTATATAATTTAGTTATTTTCTTTGTGATTGACTTAGGGGTTACCATGAATCCTTTAACTGCTAATGCTCAACTTCAGATTAATACAAATTTAATATCAATGATGTGCAAAAATTTGTTCTCTTATATCATTATTTTTTTTCAATACTTAGGTTTGAACTTAGGGCCTTACACTTGCAAGGCAGGTGCTTTACTACTTAATCCTTTTGAGATGTGGTCTTGATTTATATCTGGAGGAATCTGAAATTTGAGATTTGTGCTTGCTCATCCTATTGGAATGGGCCACTAAACTCAGCCATGTGTTTCCACTGTAGTTTAGGCTGACAGGCAAGCGTCAAACCAAGAAATCATTGGAGGAGATGGAGTCTCATGAACTTTGTTGCCTATGCTAGCCTCAAACCAAAATCCACATTGCTGCCTCCCCAGTATTATAGGCTTGAGCAAATGTACCTCACAACTTCCTTTACAATGTTAGTTATGTATTACATTTTGTGTCCATCAGCATAAAGATTTATAATTTCAAGCAGGACGATGGCCATGGAAGTCGGAATTCACTAAGGAGTATGTAACAACTCACCTGCCGAATCAACTAGCCAAAAAAAAAAAAGATTTATAATTTCACTTTAAAATAATTATTTTAAATCATAGAAAAGAAAAAAGGAGTTATAAACAAAAATACATCATTGCTAAACTTATCTATGTCATTTTATGGGTGTTCTTCATTTCAGCCTTTTGGATTAAATGTTATGTCATAAGCAAATTTATGACTGCAGTCGCAGCTACTTGAGAAGCTGAGGTAGGAGGAATGCTTCAGCTCAGGAGTTCAGAGTCAGCTGGTGCTAGATAGCAAGGCTCTGTCTCAAAACAGGGATAGATAGACTGATAATAGAGAAGGACTTAGTCCATGTTACTGATATGCAAACAGAATGATATTTACACAATGAACATTTGTTAAATATTTACGAATTTGAAGCACTGTGCTAAGCACTGGAATGAAAATAATAAGAAGTGTGGGCCCTGAACTCAAGGAGTTGAAGTCTATGAGGCTGACAAGTGCACAGTGTTTGTCTGTAAGGTAATAAAAGCTGTGATATGACTGAAGAGTATAAGTGGAAATATGTGCTGGGAGTGCAGCTCTATCTAGTTCAAAACCAAGGAAATGGATCTGTTTTCTCCTTAATTCGACCATGAATTATTTTAAATTTCTAAAGACACAGTGAATCATTTTAAATTTCTGGAAGATACAGTGAAGGCTCGCTGCCAGTGCAATCACTTCTATAGCTTTTGACTTGAAAGTTTTGGGGCATATTTTTTTCTCTGCTATCCCTTTTCTGTTCTTAGCTCCTAGCTTCTCTACATTATTTTCATCAGACCTGGATGGTTCTCAGAGGAAGTCTGACTTAGGGATTCTAAGTATAACTTAGAAAAGACAGAAAATGATTTTTAAATTAATTCATACCCTCAAATGAGCTTTTCATGCAGTCTTAGGTATATTGAAAATACTGATAATTTTGATTCCTGCATTTTTCAGAATTCTCAGTCGTAATCCTCTGACAGCAGTTGAAGATTCCTATCTTTTTAAATTGCCAGCATTAAAATATCTGTAAGTATTGAAGTAACATTAAAAGTTTTGAGATGATTTCTGTTCTTTTTTGTTACTTTCCTCAAAGATTAAGTATTTTATATTGCATCTGATAAAATCCTAATTTTAGTAACTAGGTAATTGAAAACATATTGTTGGCAAAGGAAAGAACTAAGAAAATATGTATAATGCACAAAACAGCCAGATGGAAGAACACATGTAGAACTATTATTTATTACAGAAAGCTAAGAAGAATCAGGTACATTATTTTAAAAGGAACAAACAACCTGAGTGCCGGTGACTCATGCCTGTAATTTTAACTACTAAGGAGGCTGAGATCTAAGAATCGTGGTTTGAAGGCAGCTCAGGCAGGAAACTATGTGAGACTTTCTCATCTCCAATAAACTACTCAAGCCAGAAGTGGCACTGTGGCTTAAGTGGTAGAGTTCTTGCCTTGAGCAAAAGAAACTCAGGGACAGTGCCCAGGCCCAGATTGAACAGGCCCAGAGTTCAAGTCCCAGGACTAGCAAAAAAAAAAAAAAAGAGGAGGAGGAAGAGAAAGAGGAGGAAAAAAATCATTTTAGTAAGTAGGTAATTGAAAACATATTCTTGCAAAGGAAAAAAACTAAGGAGAGGAAGAGGGAGGAGGAAAAGAGGAGGAGGAGAAAAGAAAGAAAAAAAGCACTAAAGAAAGAAAGGAAATGAGAAGCAATATAATGGTTTAAAGAAAAAAGAGGCCTGGGAAGGTGGCTCATTGATAGAGTGTTTGCCTTGCATGCCTGAGGCCCTGAGTTCAATTCCTCAGCACCACATAAGCAGAAAAAGCCAGAAGTGGCACTGTGGCTCAAGTGGTAGAGCACTCGTCTTGAGCTGAAGAGCTGAGGGACAGTGCCCAGGCCCAGAGTTCAGGCCCCTTGACTAACCAAAAAAAAAAAAAAAGAAAGAAAAAAGACACAAGTTCTATAGAAGGCCAAGCCATTGCTTTGATGATTCAAACACTAAATCTTTTCAGTAACAACTCTTTAAAATTAACTTCCATGGCAAATTCTTGAGAATGGCTTGCTTTATAGAGAAGTCAAAAGTGAAATAATCACATGTCCTTAATTATCTTTTTAAGAATACAGTATTTGGCTGGGCGGTGATGGCTCATGCCTATAAATCCTACCTACTCAGGAGGCTGAGATAAAAGCCAGCCCGGGCAGGAAAGTCCAAGAGACTCTTATCTCTAATAAACCACTAGAAAACCGGAAGTGCCACTGTGGCTCAAGCAGTAGTAGAGCGCTCACCTTAAGCTGAAGAGCACAGGGACAGCGCCCAAGCTCAGTTCAAGCCCCACAAAAAACCAAAAAAAAAAAAGAACACAATATTAATATTGGGGTTCATTATAAATGTCTGTCTTTTCTCCTTCAGAGATATGGGAACAACACAAGTGCAACTTACAACAATTGAGAACATCCTCATGTTGACCCTTGAGTTGGAAAAACTGTAAGTTAATTTATTTTTTACTTTTTATTTTTTGGCAGTTGTAAGGCTTGAACCCAAGGCCTAGGCGCCGTCCCTGAGCTCTTCTCCTCAAGGCTAGTGCTCTACCACTTTGAACCACAGCTCCACTTGTGGTTTTTGAGTAGTTAATTAGAGATGAGTCTCATGGGGACTTTTCTGCCCAGGCTGGCTTTGAACTGTGATCCTTAGATCTCGGTCTCCTGTGTAGGTAAGATTACAGGTGTGAGCCACTAGTGTCCAGCTGTAAGTTAATATTTTTAGATTTCTATCACTTCATTTTTTTTTCAGGTTTCTTAAGAAACAAACACCTCTTTTAAGTATACTGTTTGGTGGGTTTGCATAGATAGCCATGTAGCCACTGCCTAGTTCCTAATATTGAACACCTCTGTCACCCACAAAAGGCTACTCAGTCACTACATTCCTCCCCTCACCAGCCCCTGGAAACCCCGAAACCCATTTCTTTTTCTTTTTGGTCAGTCTGAACACTGTCCCTCAGCTCTTCAGCTCAAGGCTAGAGCTCTACCACTTGAGCCATAGCTCCACCTCTGGCTTTTTCTGCTTATGTGGTGCTGAAGAATCGAACCCAGGGTCTCATACATGCAAGGCAAGCACTCTACCACTGAGCCACCTTCCCAGCCCCCCCCAACCTATTTCTTTTCCTACAGTTCTACCTTTTCTAGAATATCTTATACATGAAATCATAGAGTGTGTAGCCATTTGAGTTTGGCTTCTGTCACTTGGCAGAGCCATAGGGAGTCCACTGGTGACATATGAGATTGCAATTGCTCCACATCTCCCCGATATTTCTACTTCCATTTTTAAAACTTTTTAGCCTTTTGACTAGTATCTATGTAGTGAGTCTTGTTGTAGTATTCATTTGCTTTTCATTAATAGGTGACAATGTTGAGTGACAATGGACAAATATTCAAATCTGTTCTCATATGTCGATTAGATATTTGTCTTCTAAGTTTTTTTTTCATCTATTTAATACTGATGGTCTGAGGAAAAGAAGATAAAAGTTAGATGGGCCATACTAAAAATTCTCACTAAGTTTTAAATGTGCTTTATATACTTTGGATACAAGTTCTTCCTCTCAATTTATGTGCTTGTAAAGATCTTTTCTGTGTATGGCTTGCCTTTTCATTCCATGACTTGTCTTTTGAAGAGCAGAAGTTTAAGATTTTAAAATTTTTCTAAACTTTTAACTTAGCACAGTTCTCTTGTATGCTTTGTGCTTTTAATGTCTGTTTTACCTAAGAAATCAGTTTAAAAATGCACCATTGTTGGGTATAGTTATACATATCTGTAATCTCAACTATTCCAGAGTCAGAGATCAGGAAAACTGCACTTGAGCCAACCTAGGCCAAAAGTCAGAGAAACCCTCTAGTCCAAGCTATGTGAGAAGCCTAAGAAGAAGGACCTCTGTCAGAGGATGGGCCCAAGCAAAACATGAGACCCTACCAGAAAAAGAAGGGTGGGTTGGGTACTTGGCTCAATGAGCACCTCCTAGCAAGCACAAGGGACTTAATTCAAAACCATACTACTAGCAAAAAAAAAAAAATTAATTGTCTTAACTCAGATTTTTTCCTATATTTTCTTTCAGAAGTTCCATACTTTCAATTAGGCCTAAGATCCATTTTAAGTTAATTTCATATATAGTATATTTTATTTTTTGTAAGTTTAGAAAATATTCCTATAGTGCCCTATCATAAAAGTTGTACCGCCTCAACTACAGTATGGCAAACTATATAGAACTTACTGTGCTTCAGTACAGATTGTGCCATGTCTGTGTGGAAAAAGGTACTTCATTGCACTCTTCTCTAATCACTTCTATCAGGTTGCCTCCTTGACTAACTCCCCCGTATTATCAAATCTGTTGGTTTCTGCTCTAATCTCATCTCCCTCAACCTCTCATAGTACATAGCACCTGAGTCCATCTCTCCCAGGTCAGTCAGGTGTTTTCATCTGGATAGTCGAAGTCCCCAGCCTTCTCACTTGCTCAAGGAACTAGGTCTACCCTCTTTTTGTTTTTGTTTCCTTCCAATTTCTTCTCCTCCCTGCATCTCTCTCTCTCTCTTTTTTCTTTTTGCTTGTGTTTGAAGATAGGAACACACTATATAGCCCAGGCTGTCTTTAAACTTGCACTCTTCCTGCTTCAGCATCCCAAATGCTGCCTTTTTCTTAGGTAGGACAAACAATAATCATTCTCTGTGGCCTTGTTAGTCTTTTTGTTTTGAACAGGACATTAACATATAATAACTTTTTAATGTGTGTGTCATTCTGGGTTGGTTTTGCTTTGTTGTTTTGGGTTTTTTTTCCAACTAATATAGGTTATACTTCGTTACTCCTTTGTAGGCTTTGTCATTTTCTTTTTATTCCAGACATTGTGAATTTTAGTTTATGAGGTACTGTACTTTTTTGATGTTTCTATAAATATACGTAAGCATATTTCAAGTGAGATTATGTTTCTCAAAACCTTTTTTAAAGTCAATTTGGATCTAACTTTTAAGATTTGTAAGGTAGGATTACAAAGGAATCTTTAATGTAGAGATTATTATTCATAATTATTATGGCAAGACCTTTCTGAGTACCCAGTACCCTGTGAGACATTATATTTTTTCTGTCTGGCTTTCAGGAGCAGGCAAAAATCCTAATTCTGTAGCATATTCTGTGATTCCCTGCATATTATATATTACCCAGTCTAGTTCTTTTTCTTTTTTTTTGCGAGGAGGGGAGGGGGTCCAGTCGTGGGCCTGAACTCTGGGCCTCAGAAGAGCTGTCCCTCAGCTCTTCAGCTCAAGGCTAGCTTGAGCCACAGCGCCACTTCTGGCTTTTTTTTTCTGCTTATGTGGTGCTGAGGAATCGAACCCAGGGCCTCATGCATGTAAGGCAAGCGCTCTACCACTAAGCCACCTTCCCAGCCCCCCAGTCTAGTTCTTTTCCTCACACACATGTACTCACCAGTACTGTGCTGGATACTCAAGCCATCCCTCTGCATAGCTCCAGAGTTCTTTCTCTGTGTACTTCTTTCCCCTCTAGCACTCTGTTCTGTGATTGGTAGCCAACTTGTTTGACTTGAACTGTCTGCTCCATTTCCACAAGGAGGGAGTTACACATTCTCTGCCTGTGTTTCCTTCCTTGTACCAACCCTTGGAAATTCTCCCAGAGCAGAAAACTCTTATGGTAGTCAGATTTTCATCCCTGTGACAAATGCCTGAGAAAAACCAAGTAGGAAAGGTTCATTTTGGCTCCCAGTTTCAGAAATTTCAGTCCATACTCATTGGCTTCATTGCTGTGGGCTTGTGATAAGGCAGCACATCATGGTGGTGGAAGCATGTGGCCAAGGAGGATATAGAAGCAAAAAAGGGTCCAGGGACAAGATGTAGTCTTCAAAGGTATGTTCCTAGTGACCTATTTCACCCACATATATAAGACTATGTTGTAAATTGTTCAGCTATGAATTCATCAATGGATTGATTCATTAATGAAGTTAATACTCCCAGGAATCCTCAAAAGCAGCACTAGCTGAGGACCAGACCTTTAACACAGGATCCTGTATGGTCATTTTATATCCAAAATGTAACCAGGTAAGGCTATCACAGAAATCTCTTCATTTACATTCCATTTCTTGGTCATGATTTACCTTGATTGTCTGATATCCAATCACTTGAAACTATTGTTAGTTAAATTGGTTTCCATCATTCCATCTTAGCCAGAGGCTAATGATAGTCTTTAAGTATGTTTTGTTTTGTCAGGTTGTAGCCATCCTATTTAGGATGCTGAGATCAGGATGATCATAGTTTGAGGCCAGTTGGCCATATATATAGCAGCCCTTCTCAAGTCAAAGCTAGGTACAGTGAGATAGAGATTGTCCTCCTAAACTTCATGAGATTGGATAGATGGAGGTTCCAGGCCAACCAGGACAGAAAATTTCACAAAATTCCATCACCACAAAAGAAGAAATCAGAGATAGATGATATATATCATGACTCAGTTTCCTTTATCCTAAAACAGTTCCCTATTTTTTTTCAGTGTTCATGATATTGGTACTTTAAAAAATTTAAGACAATTTTCTTTTAAATTGTCCCACAAGCTGGCTTTGTCTTTTCCTTATAAGTAACTGCAAGTTAAACATTTGATATAGCATTCCTACTATACTATGAAGTAGTCCTTAATGCTGTTTGATCACCGATTAAGGTGACATCTTAGAGAACTTTGAGCTTGTTTTGTGTTTGGTAATTAATAACTATTCTTTGAAGTAGTGATTGGAGATCAGTGAAGATCCTGTTATGACACGTCTATCTTCTCACCCAAACTCTCATCAAAAATAGATCATCTTTGTCTGAATCCAATATTACTTAGCAGTCAAAAAATGAGTTTTTTAAATCCTACCATTCCTACCACATTGATTTGCTTGCATTGCATTAAATTCATGAGTCTTTTGTACATGATGTTATACTTTATTATAATTTTTATTGGTTTGTTAGCAAAACCTCACAGCCATGCTAGCCAATATTCTACCATGGAGCTATACTTTTGGTCTCCTTTATTCATGTGTGTGCTCAAATAATCCAGATTTAGCCTTTTGATTTGTTGTTGTCCAACCACAAATATGGTTTGAACTATGCAATATTTGTGCCTAGGTAATTTCTAATATTATCTCCAATATAAGTTGAAAGAGGAATTATGGCCATTGGAAGCTCTTTGATACTTTTCTAGATATCTGTCTTCTTCCTATGCACTCTTAGCCCAGAGACTTTTGAGTTGATACCAGATGCTTCTGAGTTATGCTACAAGTCTATATCACTCATTTCTAATCCCCATCACCTTAACTTGAGGAATACCATACACTTTTCCATGTTTCCTCTCCCGTTGCATAGCTCTGTCTTACATCTTTTTTATTTTCAATATTCAAGAGCAGTGGCTTATCTTTGATAAAAAAAAAAAAAAGGTTGCCCAGGCCATGTTCCTCAACAACTCCTTTCTGTACAGCAATGATAGTCTTGGCCTATCTTTTCACCCTGGTAATCCCTTCCCATTAATCTGATTTTCTGTGTTTCCATTTATAGGATCTTACCTCGCCATATGGCCAACTGCCTCTGCCAATTTAAAAATCATATTGAAGTTGTCTGCAAGACAATCAAGTTGATTTGTGAGAATTCATTTGTGACAAACACAACACATTGTCGTGAGTCTGTTGTCTGATAAATGTTTTCCATTTTTATTTTTAATTCTTTCTATGCCAGTACTAAGGCTTGAACTCAGCACCTGGGCACTGTCCCTTATTCATTTATTTATTTATTTTCACTTAAAGCTGGTGCTCTACTAGTTAAGCCATAGCTCTACTTCCAGCTTTTTTGGTGGTTAATTGGAAATAAGAGTCTTCTGGACTTCCCTGCCTGGACTGGCTTCAAGCTGTGATCCTTAGATCTCAGCCTCCTGAGTGGCTAAGATTACAGATGTGAGCCACTGGTTCCTGGCTTTTTTAAAAACCAGTGATGATTTTAAAATAACAATTGCCTTATTTTTATTCTCTAATACAAAGTTAAACTACCAAAATTTCTGAATTGCTCTCTTGCTGAATGGCAGGTTTTTAGTTGCTATTGGACAATAAAATGAAATAACTCTTCATATGCACAAGAACCAAGAGAAGGGAATACAAGAAGGGAGGGAGCATCAATGGCCACACTATGGACTGTGTTCTCTGCTTGGTACTTTGCTTCATATGATACATTGCAGAATCTAAGCTAGTTTGATAAGCAGTAGATCTCAAGTGCTCTCTTACTTCTAAGGCTTTGGTAAACAGCTTTTGTTTTATTTTTGCATTTTTATAAAAGGGTATATATGATTCTATTTTATTTAAAGCCTAAGTTTCCAATTCTGTACCTAGCAATTTTATTACCAGGCTTTCCTAATGGATGGAAGGCCTCCTCCATGCCTAGACTTTCTAATTCTGAACTCTTGCCTTTGATATCAGGATTTCTTATCCAGAGATCACTCAGGTATGTGATCACTAAGATCACACAGATCACTCTAAGGCTTTTTTTTTTTTCTGGTCATGAGGCTTGAACTCAGGGCCTGGGTACTGTCCCTGTGCTGTACCCAGCAGTGCTATCGTCAGCTCAAGGCTAGCTCTTTACCACTTGAGCCACAGTGCCACTTCTGGTTTACTGGTGGTTTATTGGAGGTAAGAGTCTCACAGACTTTCCTGCTTGGGCTGGCTTTGCACTGTGGTTCTCAGATCTCAGCCTCCTGAGTAGCTAGGATTATAGGCATGAGCCACCAGTACCCAGACACTAGGGCTTTTTCTGTATATTAAGTTCATTAACACTAACTTCATGGGTCTCTAGATAGCTTAACATATAGAAAGCTTAAATACATAAATAAATAACATCTAGATAGCTTAAATGATGATCTCTATTGGTGATCTTAATGTAAATAATAGTTACATAAACACAGTGTTACTTACTCTTAAAAATTGTTTTTTAAATCAAATAACCTTATTTCCTTCTCCTAGAGGTGGAAAGAGAAAAAAAATGGCATCTCTTTTTACAGTTGAGAAAAAAAATAGAACCAGAAGAGTCAAGAGCTATGTCCAAGTTTTGTCTCCTCCACTGAGTTCTCTACAGATCTAAGTTCCTCAATTCTGACCATCCTTAATTCCTCCCCTGACCGTTAATATGAACAAAAGTGTTGTAATTCTCTAGGAAAAGAAACCTAGCCATGTCATGAGACACAGACCTTCTTGTATTCAAAGCTTAAGGAGATTCCTAAATAAAGCTGGGGAGTTTGAAATGCAATTAAAGCAGTGTAGAGGGTTGGGAATGTGGCTTAGTGGCAGAGTGCTTACCTAGCATGCATGAAGCCGTGGGTTCTATTTCTCAGTACCACATAAACAGAAAAGGCTGAAAGTGGTACTGTAGCTTAAGTGGTAGAATGCTAGCCTTGAGTAAAAGACGCTCAGGGACAGTGCCCAGGCCCTAAGTTCAAGCCCCAGAACTGGCAAAAGAAAGAAAGAAAGAAAGAAAGAAAAAGCAGAGTAGATATCTGATAAAAGTAGCTATTTCAGCCTTGTATGGTAGCTCCTTCCTTTAATTCCAACTATACAGGATGTGGGAAGTAGAAAGATTGTGGTTCCAGTCAAGCCTAAGCAAAAGTTAGCAAGACCCAATCTTAGTAAGATGGGCATGGTGGTGCACATTTGTACTGCCACGTAAGTGGGATCTGTAGGTATGAGGCTGCTAACAATGGCCAGCCCAGGCCAAAAAACAAAAACAAAAAACTGAGACCCTTCCAAAAAATAACTAAAAATAACTTAAAAAACAGATGGGATGATAGTTCAAGTGACAAACCACCTAGCCATTGCAAAACCATAGGTTCAACTCCAAGTAATGCCAAAAAATGTAGCTTTTCCCTCTTGTATTTTAGGACCTCAAGAAATTATAGATTTGTTGGACATTGTATGTAAAGAACATAGGCATACAATCAGGCAATCTTATAATATCTTAACCTATATTCTATTCCCTTCTCTAATAGAAGGAAAGTACCAAAATATTATACTGTTTTTCTCCTGTGCAGAATCTGTTATTAAAAGAGCTAGAATATATGGGAGCAGAGCCCAAGTGAAGGTACTGGGAAGGTAGGTGTATTAAAAACAAGTCCAGTTGAGGACTTATCAAAAGGAGAGAGACCTCTGAGTTAGCATCTCTGCCCTTGCTATCCTGAGGACCATCCTTTGTCATGGTTTCCAGCATGGTAGGAAGAAAACAGCACACTCAAGAGGTTGGAGAGAAGGGCTGGGAAGGTGGCTCAGTGGTAGAGCGCTTGCCTTGCAAGCCTGAGGCCCTGGATTCAATTCCTCAGCACCACATAAGCAAAAAGAAAAAAGCCAGAAGTGGAGCTGTGGCTCAAGTGGTAGAGCACTAGCCTTGATCTGAAGAGCTGAGGGATAGTGCCCAGGCCCAGAGTTCAGGCCCCATGACCGGACCCAAAAAAAAAAAAAAAAGAGGTGGAGAGAAGAATCTTATGCACCTTCTACAGCTGTGGCAGGACAGGATATGGGGCAGGTGAATGTGGAGAGGCATGGCTCTTCTGCAGAGAAGCTACTCAGGGAATGGGTATTTGTTTTGAGTACTAGGCAGTTGGGATGTTTGTTTCTAACACAGTTCCTATATTTCACACAAAATTATGTACTCAGATGTTCTGAGTAGGTAACTACTTTGTCAAGGCACACCCATTTTCTTTTTTTGTTGCTGCCATTTCATATACCTAAGTTTAGGTTTATTTTTCTCCCCACTACATGGCATTCAAATCTTCTCTGACCTCTAATATATTTGATTAGTATGTGTGGCAGTGCATTAAAAATAAAATACCTTTCCCCAATGATCCCTTACAAAGCAGTTTCTTCCTTTCTGACAGTTGAAGAAGCAACAATAGGAAACCCAGATGGAGCATTCATGAAGGTGTTAAAGTCCCGGAAGAAGAATACCAGCACTGAGCTGACTATTGAACCAGAAAGAGAATATTCAGGAAAAAATGATGCTAGCTACTCAGGCTTCTTGAACGAGCAGTTAGATTTTAATGATGAAAGTGATATTATTAGTGCACTCAACTATATATTGCCGTATTTCTCACAGGGAAATCTAGATGATGTAGAATTGACATTGTTACCATTTATTAAACTGCTTTTTACAAATGTGCAGGGAGATAGCTCTCAGAATAACATAAAACCCAACAAAAAGAGTCCCGTTCTTAAACCTGTTCCCAATAACTCAGTTTATAAAAATAAATTGAAGAAGCTTTATTTTCTGGAAAATCTGTTAGATGCAGAAATTCAGGAAAAAATTGATGAGGTTAAAAATAAAGAAAAAACGGCTATGGTTATGCAGTCCAACCTTTTAGGTCCCAAATTTAAGCGCCAAATTGTCCAAAAGAAATTGCAGGATGTCCATGAACAGGAAAACACCTGGGCAGAGATGGAGAGTGCAGAGGAAAGACTGCAGAGGTTCAACAGAGTCCTCAAGGGGCCAAAAAGCATGCAGAAAAGGCACTTCAAAGAAGTGAGCAAACAAAGGAAACAGAGTGGTTGGCCTCTTGTGAAGAATATTGCTACAGAAAAAAGATATAGGAGACTACCCCTAAGGGAGCTAGAGCAGCTTCATGTGTTTCAGGAGCCGAGGAAATTGGTGGGAAATGCCTTGCCTACACAGCCCTCTTTCATAAAGAAACATAAGGCAATAGCCTCTTCTTTCCAGAAACAAGACTCAGCCAGCAAGGCCTCCTTGTCAACCATTGTAAAATCCCTACATGAGGTCAGAAATAAAGACAAAGACTTAGCTTATAGCATGTTTATTTTAGAAGAAGCAAATTCTAGAGTTAAAAGCATGGAGGCTTCTAATCCAATCATCCATTCCCAGAAAAATTACCAATTTCATAAGACTGGCTCTCCTGTGGCACACAAAATACCCAAGGCCAAACTGAGCCGAAAGTTCAGAAAGAAAACTTCACGCTTTAGGCCAATGCTTGGGAACAGGCCTCCATTTTTTCCAGTAAGGAGCCTCATAGATTCCCCTTCAGGAGGGGACTTTTCATCTTTGAGAGAGTTAAATTCTCCAGAGAACCCTTTCCCAGAATTCTATGCTCTTTTAGATCCATCTCTAGACAGGACTTCTGTAGGAAACCAGACTGCAACAACTGCTTTAAAACAAAGTGTTCCTGTGGGAAAAACTACTGTACCAAAACAAAATCACCATAAAAACAAAATTCAGGAAAAGGATGCTACTGAAGATTCCACTGTGACTGAGTTCAACGTAATGCCAACTATGAAAAAGATCAGTGAGACACAATGGGAATACCCCAGTGTAGGCACTGACTCACCTGTCAAGCCCACAGACTCCTCTTCCCCATTCTTATCGTATGCTGATCATTTTGAACTACAGGTAAACCAGCAGTTGAAGTCCCTCATTCCCAGTAATGATGTGAGAAAGCTCCTGTCTTATCTTATCCGGACCTTACATTTTGACTGTACTGAAACCATAGTACAGGAAGTCTGTTCTAAGCTCATCTCCAGAATCGGCCTCTTGATGAAGTTTCTTAGCAAACAGCAAGAAGTCAAGGTGTCCAAGGCTGACTGGGATACAGATCAGTGGAAAACAGAGAACTACATCAATGAGAGCACTGAAGGCCAAGGTGAACAGAAAGAGTTAAGTCAGGTGAGGACAACTATAGAACAAGAGATTCCAACTTCTCCATCATTAAAGATATATCTTTAAAGTGGAAACCTAGGGGCTCTAGCAAAGTTCAAAGTCATGTGACCAAAACAATGTTTCCTACTTTCCTCCTTTATGGAGAGTGAAGTGGACCTAAAACACATATAAGTGATAATAGAGAAAATGCAAATTAACTAGGCTTGTAACACATTAAATTTATTTTATTGTAAAGGTGATGTACAGAGGGGTTACGGTTACATAAGTAAAGTAATAAGTACATTTCTTGTCAAACATTGTTACCTCCTCCCTCATTTTTCTCCCATTTTCCCTCCCTAATTAAGATGCTCTTTTAAGAATTTGCAAATTACTTACGTGGAAGAATGGGGTTTTGAATAGTTTTCTTCCTTACAATCTCTGTTGTTTTTTCCTGATGAACAACTTTTATTAAATATCACAATCATGTAATTAATAAAACTTCAGAAAGCCTTTTAGTTCCCCAAACAAAATTAGGAATTGGAAGGTCAACTTCAACCCTGTATCTTTTCCTGTTCTCCTATATTGCTTGCTTTAATTTTATTTTTTTATTATTATAAAGGTGATATAAAGAGGGGTTGTAGTTACGTAATTCAGGTAATGAGTACATTTCTTTTTGGACTGTGTCACCCTTTCGCTCCAACTCTCCCAGTTTTTCCCTCCCATCTTCATCAATCTCTTTTTTTGTTGTTTTTAACAAATTATCCTTTTTTTTTAAGCTTGTACAAGAAGTTCCGGGATATGGCTATAACAACAAACTCATCTTGGCAATATCTGTGACTGTAGTAGTAATGATCTTGATTGTAATTTTCTGTCTCATTGAGGTAAGGACCACAATTCATTCAGATTTCCAGATTGTATCCTGTCTTTGTAATAGATTTAGAACCCACAACTTGAAAAACAGAGCCATTTTACCACTCTTCAGAAGATAACTTGTGGATAGTATAGACAATTTTCTGTTTATGGAACAGTATTTCTCAATGTACTTCTCTGATATGGTGAGATTACTCCTAAAGGAAGCAGTGAGTCTAATTTTGTATCTAGGAGTCAAGGCATGGGGGTCACTTTACAAGACCTCTTAGAAGTCATCACTGGCCTCTGCTTATGACTCCTGGCCTTCCTTGATATCTCTACAAACTCCAGGACTGCTTTTCATTTCTTGGCAGAGTTTAACCTTGTGTCTGTACTTTATACTCCCATGTTTTCCTCTGCTTTGTCAGATGGTAAGCTCTGTGAAGACAGGAAGCAGTCTTTTACCTGCAGTTGATAATTATTTCCTTTCTGCTATGAGAAGTAAAACAATCCAACATTTGTTTAAATAAATAGAGCTGGGCAATGGTGGCTCACACCTGTAATCCTAGTTACTCAAGAGGTTGAGATCTGAGGACTGCTGTTTATAGCCAGCCCATGCAGGAAAGTCTGTGAGACTCTTAACCACCAGAAAACTGGAAGTGGTACTGCGACCAACATGGTAGATTACTAGCCTTGAGTAAAAGAGTTCAGGAACAGTACCAGGCCCTGAGCTCAAACCCCATAACCAAAAACAGGAAAAAAAAAAGAATAAATAGGGATCAGCAATCAATATGTCAGGTGTTCCTAAGTTGTGTGGCTTTGTGAGGTGCACATGTGACATTAACCCCAGATCCTTGAACATTTTGAGCATAACTCAACTACTGAGGTATAGTTAAGTTGCACACTGAGTTTAATGTCACCTTTCTAGTCATCCATAGGAAATGAACAGATTGTAATACGTAGCTCCCTAAGTATTTTGTCAGGGCAAGTAACAAAAAATTCTTTTCACCTTAAGCAAATGTATTTTGGTAAATGTTTAAAAAGAAGAAGAAATTGTAAAAGTATTAGAAGAAAATAGAAGTGATTTTTTTTTTAGGATTTAAAAAAAAATTAGCGTACATTACTTTTACAATGGGGCTTTATTGTGACTTTTTTGTTGTTGCTGTTATTGTGCTATACTGGGGCTTAACCTCAGGGCCTTGTGCTCCCTTTCATCTTAAGTGGCCAGAGCCATGCCTCCACTTAATGCTTTTTGCTAGTTAATTGGAGATGAGTCTTAAGAATTTGTGTTGGCTTTGAACCTTGATCCTTAGATCACAGCCTCCTGAGCAGCTAGGATCACAGATTTGAGCCACTGTTGCCTAGTACTTTTCTTATAGTGTTCATGAGGAGGTTTATTAATGTCTGTACCTGTATATGAATTATCTCAATCAACCTCACTCAATCACTCTCCACTCTCCCTTATCCACTTCCCTTCTTTTTTCTTTTCTTTT